ACGAGACCTGCAAGCACTACTATGAGACCACGATGAGCGAGTGGCTGGCCGTGGAGGCGATTGTGCGGCAGCGCGAGAAGGAGAAGACGGCCCTGGCGGTGGCCAAGCTGAGCGCCGAGCAGGCACAGCTGGCCAATGCCAATGCCAATCCGCACGCCTCAAGCGCTCTGCTGACCAATGGCAACGGGCAGCTGGAGCTGGACAGTGGCGGCGGCTTGGCCGAGGGCGAGAACGATGTGTTTGATGATAATGACTTTTCGGACATATCCGATCCGGGCGATGAGTACGACGAGCAGCCACTGAATGAGGAGCAGCCCGCGCTGGAGGCTGAGCAGCCGGCGTCAGTGGCAGAGGAAAAAGAAGCCGAGGAGGAGGAAGCAGAAGAAGAGGGAGTAGAAGAAGGCGAAGAGGCAGCCGAGCTGCCGGCACAGCTGAGCAGCCAGGTGGTGCTGGAGTTTCAGAACATTGATGATATGGAGCCACTGCGTTTGCATGACAACTGCTTCGGCGACTCCGAGGCCGAGGGCGATCTAGGTTTCAGTCTGGACGGCAGTGGCAATATCCTGATGCTGAGCATCAAGAGCTCACCCTCGACCAGCAGCTACGAGACGGTGGGCAACGAGTTTGCCGATCTAACGGATGCCAAGGTCCTGGACGAGGCAGAGCTGGAGCCCGAAGCGCCAGTCAATGTGGATGTGGATGTGGATGAGGAAATGGCCACTGATGTGGAGACGGAGCCGAACGGGCAGCTGAGCAAATTTCATAGCGCCGACGATGTGCGCCACGATGAGGAGCATCCAGCAACATCAGTCATTATCACCGAGGCCGCCTCACTGGACGACCTGGACGTGCAATGCAACGACGACGAGCCCACCGAGGAGTTTACCTCACGCAAAACCAGCCTCATGTCGCCCCTGAACGAGGACATCACCGTCGTCGCCTCGCTGGATGCGCTGCAGGAGCCAAAGTCTGCCTGCGTCTCACCGGCCAGCTCCAATGGCGGCGTCTACAGCGTGGAGCTGCTGGAGCAGTTTGGCTTGAATCTGCACCGGATCGAGAAGGATGTGCAGC